AATAGTAGAGAAGGTTTCGTATAGCATGCAAGTTGATTAAGTATGAATCATCCCATTCCTCTGATGGCTTGTAGAGGAAATATTCGAAATATAATAACCTCTGGTAGCAGATATGATGAAAATGGTTCTATCTTTAGTTCATCCGCAGTCATATTTTGTAGCATAGTCGAAATATCTTTGCTTTTCCAATCTAGTAATGGTTACAGACAGACCTGTACTGGTAACAGATGCACGTTCTTCCTGCATCGAACCAATGATCCATCGCTTTTCACCAATGTTTCATAAATATCTTATCGTTTAGATGTCAGTGTGGAAGACAAAGCGTTGCAACATTATTCAGCATTGAGGAAGAACGGTAGTTATATTGCTATCCACAAAAAGAAGTCATTTTGAAAGCAGAGAAGATGTGTCCAAGATAATGCCCTCGCCAAAAGACATATTCTACATTGAGAACTTTTCGTTTGGATGATCAATCTTACTAGAGGCCGAGTAATCTGGCTAGGACAACACAGAACAAACATAGGCAAGCAGCAGTCTAGATAGTCAATGTGCGGTCTAATGAGGTCAAGATGCGTAGAGCTTTACAAAAGCACACTTACATCTTTTCGGCCAATTTGATGCCAAGTTTGGTACCGTCTTTTTTGCACAACCTGACTAAAAATATGTCTGAAAAAGAATAAATATGAATTCGTGATAATAAAATGTTAATGAGCAATTAGAATGAACTAGAGAGAAAAGTATAAAAAATAAAATAGGATAGCAGATAAAATAGTAAATTGCGATGGAAACAATAGGTCTTAAAGCAAATAGTCGCCAAATATGCAAATCCCAAAGACGATTCACTAACCTCTGACGGGCACAAATTGAAATAAAAATTCCCTAAAGCACGAACCAATGCCCAACCATGGCGGAAATCGCGATCACAAAGCTTGAAGGCCAACATGGAAAAAATTACCTCAAACTTTGTTATTTACTCATACTTTGACACCAAATGAGTTCTAAGGAAGCTAATAACGCAGACTGCTTCGCTCTCGAACAAATATCATTGATAAGTTTGCCCAGGATAATACAGGCCCTCATTAATATGGTGGGCTTTATGAAAATATCCAATGAAAATAGAAAAGTTGAGAAAATTCTAACCGATCTTTGGAATGGTTTCAGAGCAGCATTCGTACTTGAGAACATCAACTTAGAGTAGTCAGAAAACGTGTATATATGAAAAGCTATTCTTCGAGCCTTTGCAGTGAATGAGCGCCGGGATAACATTTTTACAGCAAAGTAGCAACGAAATGACTAATTCAAGGCTGAACACGTTCTCCGAGATCATCCATCAATTGGAAAGTAGGGAGAAAAACAAGATCAAATCGTCCGTATAGTAAGCCCAAGGAGTAGTTTTAGGCTTTACCATTGATTGTTCGATGAGGCTAATTTATACGTGAGATCAAGGAAATTACACAAACTGAGACCAAGATGTTATGGCATCTGCTTAGCTTACAGTCCCCTATTGCTCCATACAATTTTGTAGATAAAACAGGATAGAAGGATGAGTGACAGGACAGCCGAAGAGATGGATTTCACTTGCTGCTAAGACTGGCAAGACCAAATGGCAATGCCGGTGGAACGTCTGAGAATGTGCCAAATCGACAGACTGACACTGGGAACTAGCATAACTCATCCAACAGAGGAGCTCGGATACGGTTTTCCAAACTAAGTCACTCTTATTATCTTCGATTAAAGAATGAGCCAAGTTGGGCCACAATTTCGACGCAGGGAGGGAAAAGGAGATAGGATTGCGCCAGACTAGATCCCATCAAGGAGACCCACCTCTAGAATATACTAGAAGAAAGAAAGTCGAAGGTGCGACAAAAAGAGATTGAAACACGAAGATACTACTTAGTAAGATGGCTAACTAGTATGACGAAGCAAAAGGGGAGAGATACCAGAACCGTTCACAGGACGGTTGGAAAATGAAGTGATTCTATTTGCCTCCTTGACTTTGCAAAGTGTGGCAAAGTTCCTTGATATAAGTAGGTTTCGAGACCATCAGTAATTCTTGAATTATAGCTTAATCAGTCGAAGTCGCTTAAGGTGAAGTAGGTAGTGTTCATCCGAGTAGACTTTTCCCTTAATCAGATGCAAAGGCCTCATGGTGCCATTGCATTTTCCCTTAGCCTTGCCTTCCATCCAGGCTGGACCGCAGCTTCAACATCGCCTGGGACTCACAGCACTCATCATCACGATATTCCAATTTGGGTTGTGAGTATCGTGGCGACGATAACCACTCCAATAGATGGCTAAGAGTGTTAGTGAGTCACAAAGCAGATGTGACATTCAAGACAAGCCATGGCACCGTGGCCGTTGATTTGAGTGGTTAACATGGCCACGATATTCACAACCCGGGTTCGAATCCCACCGGGTGAGGTCGAAACTGCAGTCCATTGAGGCCGGAAAAAAGTCTGGGAATTTACCAAGTCAGCTATCAAGTATGGGGTACGATATTGGGCAGTGCATAGGAATATTGTCACTTAATAGAGTAAAGTAGGCATTCGTAAATAAAAGATAAGAATGAATACATACTATCCTTGTAGTGTATTTCCGTTCCCCTTTTTTGACTTGGCATCTTGCCTGAAGGATTAGGCCTTGCAAGTGTGTGGACTGGATCCTGTACAGGATGAGGAGGATGGCAAAATTCTAACGGCTGCGGATCAGATTCCTGCTGCTGACGACGCTGTCTGCGCTCGTGAAGATGATGGCTGGAGTCGTGATTGTGATGCTGCCGCTGCTGCTGTTGGAGATGTTGCAAATGCATGTGCTCAGAAGGAATTGAGTGAGATTGCAGGCTCTTAGCTCGAAGTTGGCTATGATCAATGGTAGACATTCGACGAAGCGAGGAATCCTCAAAAGGAACAATTGGCCAAGACGCTTCTGTTGCCTGGTCATCTCTC